TGAAGGCTATATCAAGTAATACAGTATCGTGAGTGTATCACATGCATATATCAAATATTGAAATTATATATTTGTTGGACTAATGCATATTGAGTTGTTTAACCATTGAAATCTTATGCATGTTTAAAGGTACCACTATGTGAAACATGTATGTTTTTAAGGTCATCTTTGTGCAGGGTTGTGTCCTTTTAAGGAAATCCATTGTAGAGCAGCAGCAGTGGAGATGGTTCGGGCTGGTACAAAACCAAACAAATTGGTGATTTACATTTGGCTGCTGTCATCCCCCCTGAACTTAAAGGAATACAGAGGAAGATTCAAGGCGTTACCTGTTCAACATATTATTTGCATATTCATATGGCTGTCTATAAATCTGGGGTAAGGAATTCTCAGGCATTCAGATTGCCTGATTTAAGTCCTGTGTAGCTGTAGGCCGTCAGGGGTAGTAATTTGACCCAGAGCTCTGTATTAGAATTGTATTGTCTGGGGAATAAACTCTTTTTGCTTTCAATCAATCGATTCCAGTGGTCATTTTTGGGAGAACACGCTTAATGGTTTTTTGAAGATGCCTAACACCTGTAAACTGTTTAAAATGAACTACTTCTTCTTTTCACGTTTTAAGACATGCACAGTACTGTCTAAAAATGTGATTTAAAATAAGACAGCAGTCAAGAAGAGTCTTTAGGTCTGTTTTTATATGTCCCTTTGTGAGAAAATTCCCTGTTTGATACATTCAAATTGACAGGCGGTCAAAGCTCCTGAAATTGCATTTTATCTAAAGCTATTTGCAAAACTGCATTAGTACACGGGTTACATAAGCTCAGCACATACACTCTATTTAAATACACAGATAGGCCTGTATGCCATTTTACATTATACATTCAAAACACAAATTTAGTACAAGAAACACAAAAATGCACAAAAAATAAAGAGCCCATATTACATTATTTTCTAATCTATGCTATAACAATGTTTCCTCATCAAAACATGCCTGGGGTTATGTTTTGTTTCATTCACACATCCTGTTCCACCTTGTGATGTCATGCGGTAATACAGGAAGTGCTCCAATGTGTTTTTAAACTCCCTACACCTTCACTAGAATCATTTGGATCATTTCAGCCCTTGAATAGCTAAACTCTACTGGACAAAAGGTAAAAGGTAGGTGTTAACTTGAAAACTACCATGTCATTACACCACAATGTTGAACAGAGCATTTTGAGTTTTGGAGATGTAAACAGACTAAGGCTACATTCAGACTGCAGGGATTAATGTTCAGTTCAGATTTGCAAGGCCGTCTTGTATGTGATCTCCAGAGCGAACTTTAAACGCCCCAAAAGTGTCCCGTATGCGCACTGGAGGACACGACGACATCACACGCAGCGAGCATGCTCAGTGTTTACGAAAGTCGCCTGTGCTTGTCTCCCAAAATACAGTCCAGTTCTTCGTAAAATGGACAGGTTACACGTCCACGGCTGCTTCGTTTGTTTGAGTCTTTAGCCTCCTTGTATTTGGCTCACAGGCTTTTTATTTTTCGTTGACATTGGAGCCAGGACCGCCTGTAGCCGCGCTCGGATTTCTTTGGAAATCATTCCAATCAAACCGAGACCCCTCCAATTTGGCCTGAATACAACGATCCCCCCAAATATTAATAAACTTGCTAACCTCACTTTCCCTCCATTGCTTAGACTTCGAGCCTGACGTGTAGGTGGGATGAATGCAACCTGGCCGTTCAGACTGAAGTCGCATGTCAAAAGATCGGATATGTACGGTTTTTAGGGGCACATATCCAAGTGGCCTGGGTCGCATTTGAAAAAGACTGTCATTAAAAGATCAGATACAGGTCGCATAAGGGTGAAAAAATCAGGACACTTCGGGCTGCAGTCTGAACATAGCCTAATAATAAAGAGTTACTCAAACATATGTGAATGAAACAAAACACAACTCCAGGTCTGTTTTTGATGAGGGAATAGTATGTCTTAAATAATAATGTCCTAAAGTTCACAGGAGTTAGTTTTGTGTAATATAGGACCTTTAAAGACATTTTTGACAGTTTTTTAGCACATTTTTTGACACTTGGTTTAGTTTGATAATTTGCTTCAAACCTGAACAGAGGCACAGGAGCTCACATCATTTGGAACATTTCTCATGAGCTCACACAGTTCTCAGGCTCTTTCTCAGGACACTCGGCGCAGTTCTCATTCATAAACACATGAGCAGTGAATTCAGCTGCACGACTTTGGCTCAAACTCTGTCACGGTCAATACAGAACCTCAAACATAACAACAAATCATGACAACAAAGGATTTCACAGTAAGTACAGATACTGACTACACATATAAACTACAGTACATACAGATTTGCAGATATTTAGAGCTCTTGTTTTGATTTTCAAGAACACATTACATATTACAGGACAAAAGTGGCATTGATGTTTTGGTTTTGTTTGTTTTTTTTTTGTTTTTTTTGCCATACAGCTTTATTGATGAAGTTGACCATTGCAAGTTGTGCCACAATGTCAGCAGCAGCAGGCAGTGACCTCCTTGCATATACTTTTAATTTATATGATTTTATTTATTTATTTATTTACTTATTGGTTGTTGTATTGATATTTTCTATTCCAACATCTTTCCATTTTCTTCTGCATGAATATTTTTGCTCAAATACTGCAATAACTGCTACAATTGGTAATGTACTTTTATATTTTGTTTTGGAAAACTTAGATTATTTTTATGATTTTGTGCGAGCTGTTTTGCAAATGCCAATAGTGAATAGATAAAAAAAAGGGCCAAAATGAAACTGTAAACAACATTTCTATCGGCAGCTTTTAGCATACATATTACGCTCGGACAAAAAAAAAAAAAAAAAATAATGAAGCAACAGAATGTTTTTGAAGTCTAACTGAGAATGTGATGAGCAATTTCCATGTGGGAAAGAAAATTTTAAAGTGCGCAGAGGTCCAAAAAACACACAAAGACCACTGCTTTTTCTTTACTCTGATATTTTAGCACAACACAAATGTTTTCTCTGTTTTTTACTTTTTACTTAAAGGTGTACTGTGTAACTTGTCTAGCAGAGGCTTGTCTCCATGGTGATGTTATCATTTTACTTGGGATCTTCCGCAGTATGACATTAAACAAATATACCTTGAATTTATTCAGTTACAGGGGGTTTTATTTCTCGAAACTGCCACGAAAACATGCATTATTATTTCTCCACAGATCTGACCTGTAACTTGGTGATGTGGCAGTTACACAGTGCACTTTGGAAATCTGACTGAAGAGGAAATTTGCACCAACAATAAAAACAGGCTTCATCATCAGCGCATTAGGAGGCTGTCAGAATTTAAGCGTAAATTATCAAAGCTATGAGACATGAAACCTGTACCAGTCTTAACCCTCTCAGGCTCAAATAAAATTTTAGTAACAGGAAAAAATTGGATATTTGGGAAAAAATTATCATGTGTCATATGGGGTAATAATATACAATCCTGACTTTTTTTTTTTGAGAGAGAGACCTTCACATCCATTGCGTTCTGGGATGTTGCAGATTTGCAACATTGGTCCAGTGTGGTAAATTAACACTGAAGACTGAAAATGATATGAACTTTATGTGTGTACCACTTTTCATAACAATGAAAACATAAAGCACAGTGTAACAGTGCTTTACACTGGCAGAACAACATCACTTTTTCGTGTGGTGCTCCAAGAAACAATTGTTATCCTTTTTAAACAACAAAAGTACTTTGCACTTCTGGCAGGTCGTTTGCCTGTTGCCGTTCTTACACAGTCTGCATTGTCCATGTTTATCAGTATGGATGGGAAAAAAGGCTCCTGAGCAAAAAAAAGCTCATAAAATATGGATTTGGAGTAAGTAGGTAATTGGCATTTAGCAACGCCTGCCTGGAGAGGGTTAAAGGTGCACTATGTAACTTTTTGGTTGGGGGTCTGTTACCTTCTTGTTTCTGTGGATATGTCATTGCTCTGTCTGGAATGTTCCACAGTATGACATTAAACAGCTATATCTTACATTTGCAGTATGTAACTTTTCTGGTGGAGGGCCCATCAAATGTTTGTCTTCATGGAGATATTATTGCTTTGACTGTAAAGTTTCACGGTGTAGTTCAGGCCCGCTTGAAGTCATTTTTAACAGGGGGTGTTGTGAAGCCAATGTTGCCAGATTTGGTTTAGTGATTTCCCCCAAAACATGTTCAAAAAATGCCCAACAACGTTTTGTCACAGAAAACATTTAATCTTTGAATAAACGTATGTGTCAAATGTGAGAAAAGTCCTTGCTTACTCTGGGTTATTCTGTTTGCTGTGGTCTTCCTCCCTACTCATGCCCTCTGTCTGTCTTTTAAAGAAAATACTGGTCCAGCCACAGCCAGTAATATTGAGCGGGAGGGAATGTTGAATTAGTTCAGTTCACTCAGTCCTTCACTCCACTATAACACATCAAAAATAAAATCACAGCAAACAAAATAACCCAGAGTAAGCAAGGACTTTTCTCACATTTGACATATATAATCGATCGTTGGGCTTTTAAAAACATTGCCAGTATTGAGAAAACATGTTAAATGTAAAACAGTATTTTCATTTATCAAAGAAAAAAATGTCATTTAGCCTAATATTTGAATAAACATGTTGTAACGTAATCGGTTGGCTTTTTGAAAACATTGCCTGGATTGAGAAAGCATGCACCCCCACCGCCACTTTCTGCAGCCATGGCATAGTTTGAAACCTTTCTATCTTCATGGAGACCAAATCAGACAAAGTCACAGGTCAGATCTGTGGAGAGACGACCCTACTCACAGCCAGAATGCCTGTTTTTCTGGGTATTTTTGAGTGATAAAACCACCTATAATTTTATGTCACACTGTGGAATATTCCAGGCAGAGCAATGACATGTCCATAGAAACAAGCAGGTGATGAACTACGAACAAACAAAGTCAGGCCCCTTTAGCACTGACACATGCTAGTGGCTGATGCAAACTGCTAAAGGCTTCGTCACACACAGTCCTCCTGACAGCGCCTCCCGTTGGCCACACTGACACTGGCCATGGAGTGATGGGTGCTGCGGACTGAGGTGACCCGTGTGTTAAAATGAAGAGGGCTCTGCGGGGACTTCTGCGCGATGAGTCGACATAAACAGCAGAGCTGCTGATTAAACTGCTTCTGGAAACTGTCACTGAGCAGGTACAGGGCGAAGGGGTTCAGACAGGAGTTTGTGAAGGCCAAGATCCGAGCCACCACACTGCACACAAAATGGGCCAGAGAAGTGTCCACCTGAAGAGAGGGAAGAGGAGGAGGAAGGGGGTGTAGGGTTGTCAAAATGATCAAATGTTAGATACTAATCCATGCTAAAACTAATATCACAGTTAGATACTCACGGCATATTGATTAACTGGACAAAATTTGAGCTGTCCTGAACATTTTTGGTATGCATTTGAGCTTTATCGGAACTCGAAAAGATCTCATGGAAACATATAGACTATATATATATATATATATATCTTCAGTGTGATATCGTATTCGGTATCGAGTATTGATGGAATCAAGTTTGAAATTTTTGTATCGTGACGACTAGGGATGTAACAATATCCAAAATATCGTGATATCATATCGTCAAAGTTCTCACAATAATATCGTGGACCATCACAAGTCTCTTTGCTTAAATTAAGAGTTATGGAGCAGCAAGACATATGGAACTACATAGACCATGATCCTTTGCTCCATTTCAGTGTAGACTACAAGAAGAAATAACAGTTCTAAGCACTTTTAAGTCTTAGTTCTTTGGATTAAGTCTTGTCAAGGCATTTTAAGAGGAAAAAGCATTAACAGTTTTGTTAACCTCCACAAAATATCACAATAAATATTATACTGTGAGATGTATATTGTAAAAATATCATATAGAGAGATTTGGATATCGTTACATTCCTAATTGTGAGCCTCCCTACCATATCGTGAGTTTTCCCATAATATCGCAATAAATATCGTACCGTCAGGTTCATACCGTGATGATATTGTATCGTGAAACTTCAATATTGTTACACCCCTAGTGACGACACTAGTGGAGTAGGCATGCTACTTCAAAGTTACATGTGGCTTTACCAGCTTGCCTTAGCCTGATCTCATCAGATCTCAGAAGACAAGAAGAGCCAGGCCTGGTCAGTACTTGGATGGGAGCTCAGAATACCAGGTGCCACAGTGGGGTGTGCGTGAGTGATGAAGGTCAGAGGGGCCGATGGCACAGATTGTCATTGTCATCCCTGCGTCTGTCCCGGGGCAGCGTTACAATCGTAGCTCTCCACCACCGAGTACAGAGCAAAAGCCAATGACCAATTACTCAAGTATTGGTCCAAGAAATTACTTAAGTAAGAGTAACTTACTTGACTGTTGGGACGTAGCATCTGATTTATAATTTCAAATTAATGGAAGTACCAGGAATTGAATAATCCACAAAATCGAGTATTTTCATAGGATAAAATACAAAAATGAGAAAAACTAATATCACAACTGAAGATGTGGTGCAAGAAAAACAAACGTGCAAATAATTTAATCTTCTCAACAGATTGATTTGTGAGGGCAAAAGACCTTACAGCTACAGTCTTAAGTCCATACACCAGACCTGTGCTGATCCCAAATCCAGTGCACACAAATGGAAAACAAAAGTTAGTTTGACAGTTAGAAACACACTGAATTTTGGACACATGCTTAAATTACAAAAAAAACGTCAAAAGTTTGCTTTCTTCTTCTTTTTCATAGTCACTTTCTCAGTAATTGGCTGTTGTAATGAAGAATGATAATGATTTACATGTCATTTTGGCCAGTGTGAACCTGTTCTACAAGCGGCCGATTCATCATCTGGTCTTTTTTTCACTTGAGTTTCATTCTGATCCTTGTCCGAGCATCAGGTGAGCAGCATTCTGGGTAATTGCTACTTAATTAGAGGGGATTTATCCACATGGTGTAGCACAGGTGGGTGCTTTTGTTCTGTGGAAGAATGCAAGGGCGAGTCTCGTCTTTTAGTTTTCAGAAATGTCAAAAGCACAGCTGCTGGTTGCTACATGCATACATTGGCCGATATCGATATATTTTATTTTGGGTTTTGCTGCAGTTTTGGGAAGTAAATAAATATTTTGAGTGTCTGTTTTCTGTCTGAACTCTTTGAATCAAAAAGATCTGGAAGTAAATATTTTCTATTCATTTTTTAATGGGAAAAATAAATAAAATGCATAACGGTGGAACATATAGCTAATAATATAAGGCAACATTTTAAGTAAATATATTTTCAAAGTACTCTTCAGTGTGTAATACCTGTGAGTAGTGGTAGGAGCGGTACAGGTAGATGACGTGACTGGGCAGCCAGCACACAGCGAACAGAGCCACGAACACCAGCACAGTTTTAGCCAAACGCTTCCTCGATTCAACCTGCAACATCAGAATGGACTTTACACAAGCAAAACTGGATATTTAGTAGTTATACAAGTCTGACAATATACAAGTCTAAAAAATTACATAAATAAGACCAGAATTTCCCCCTTCCTGAAGGCCAGGTTTTAGGCACCACGAGCTGGAACTGGCCCTCGGACCTCAAAGCGCACAAGGGGGTGTAAGTTTGAGGTCTGAGTTGTACTGGTTGGCCAGTTCGTTCAAAGCTTTAAAAACAAACAATAAAATCTTAACTCAAAAACAAAGGAAGCCAGTGCCACGATGCTAAAATCAGGGTAATGTGCTCACGTTTTTTGGTTCCAGTTAAAAGGCGCGCAGAAGAATTTTTGAATAAATGCAAGCGAGAAAGTGTATGGTGGCTAGGGTGACCAAACGTTTGTTATTCCCCAGACATGTCCATTTTTCACGTCCTGTCCTGGCTGTCCGGGTTTTGTGATGGAAATTTTCAGGTTTTCATTACCTTTCATTGGGCCATTAAATTAACCGGCTCTCGTAGCTCTCTGTGCACTCAGAAGGGGCAAGCAGACACAAACAGTCGGTCAGCCTGCAACATGCCGAAGCGCAAATGTGCATTTAATGATGGGACAAGAGGGAGGCCATGTGCACAGTGTACAAAGCAGGCACATATGTTTCGGTGTCCAGCTTTGCGAGGTCAGAGTAGCTCAATATCGATGACGAGACCCCGTACCCCCCTGTACCGTACGGTCCAGTGTCCTGATTTTCACAAACCCTAATGGTGGCTGATGCCAGAAAAAGTTCATTATAGTAGTCACAGTAATTTTAGATAAAAGCTGCAAATGATAAAAGCCAGATTTTACAACCCCATTTACTCATTTGTCAAATTTAAAATCACTCTCAATAGTGACGCCAAGATTGGTGACAGACTGTTTCACATGCTTTTCCAGTGGGCGCGGGTCAGTGAGGGGGTCAATATTACCAGACACAATGTCCTCAGTTTTGCCCTCATTTAGACTTAAAAAGTATGGTCAATGGGCACATTTTTATATAGCGTTTTTCCACCTTCAAGACACTCATAGCGCTTTAAGGAACCACTCCACTCACCAGTGAACACAGACACTGAGCGCGAGGTGGGTTCATTGTATCGCCCAAGGACACATTTATTTGAGAGAGCTGGAATTGCACCACCAATCTGTGAGTAAGTGACCGCTCAGCCAGTGATGTTTCTGTCAAGAGCAGGATTCGAACTGCCAATGGAGCTACTGTCCCCCAGTAGTGACTCCCCCCCCAAGTGTCACCGAACCACAGTTTGAGAAAGGTCTGTCTACACAAACCTTTTTTAGAAACAGCTACAAATTGGTGTGAATTGGTGAATGCTCTTTTTCCACCTAAACTCTGAATGTTGTCAGGACTGGAAATAAGAAATCTTTGACCAAGTAGTAAAAAATAACAGATCATCTCTTACTGATTTGATATTTTTCAGTAAAACATTTCTGTCATCACTTACAGCACCAATTCCATTAACATAATTTAAATCTCACTGCAAGTTTTCTTTAAAAAACATCATTATTTGCCCCACTGTGTGTTCTGAATAGACTATAAAATAGACAGCTACAGGCCCACACTGAGCCGTAGAAACCTGTCAGAGAGTGGACTTTAACGCAGCGGTGAATCAGAGGAACATCATGCTCTATGTTTGGTAAACAGGTCGAGTGGGATCAAAGGTCATTAACTGGTCTCATACAAGTGGGACGATGACACATCAACCAGCAACAACAGGGTGAATGGAGACTGAAGAGACTTTGGTACATTTCAATTACATGAAGAGGAATACTTGACCATAATGTCTTCAGGTCTCTTCTGCCTGTGTTCTTAGTGACCCAGCACATGGATACAGTAATAAAGAAATCCATCTGCCTGTTTTTCTAAAATGCTTGACAAAGATGATTCTCAATTCAAACTGAATCTGGATGGACTCTTTGAAGCTGAAGCTCTGAAGTTTTGACCTCTGCTTACTCTAACTGTGTCTGCACTCTGATTTGAATTGGGAACAAGCTCTGCACAGAGGAAAGTCAGATTTCAACATTTTAGAATAGGTACAGCTAGTGTCCCTGGGCATGGTATAAAAGACAGCAGAGGGAGCATTTGTTGGGTCTTGATAATTTCTGTGTCAAAGCTGATGCAAATCTCACTAAACATGATTGAAATTATGATTTAGGAACTTGTAATGAGGCAAACAAGTCCAGGTACAATTTATATTAAATTATTTTGTCAGTTTGGAGTACAAACAGGTCCTGATTTTTATTTTTCAGAATGGTTGATTTGACTGTAAATAAGTGTATTACAGATTTCTATGTGAATGATAGTTCCTTTTTATCAATAAATGGACAATCTGAAATATTTTCTAAGTACAAGGGCCCCATCAGCCCCCTCAGAACATGAACCCTAACCCACTGAACACTAACCCAAATTACACTATTTTCTGATGACCTGGAGTTGTGTTTTGTTTGTTAGCCTGCCACCTTGCATCTCATGAATTATTGCATGTTGAGGGACTATTTTCTCATGTATCAGTCCGCTGCTGCCAACCTTTCTATCAGGAAGTACAGCTGCTGCTGCTCAGACATAAATCCTTCAAATGCAAGGTTTTACTTCTAAAATGATTCTATCAACACAGATATTCACATCCATAGTCTGGCATAATAACTGTTGCTTCGGGTGTTTTGTGGAGTGGGTAAGACTGTTTTTAGTAGCAGGATAACTATGGCCATTGACATGCACTAGCCTAGCACCAGCGACCTCTGCAAATACAAGGACTGGATGGAATATTTTAAAAAGTGTCTCCACACGTCTCCAACACTCTGGCTCAATAGGAAATGAGGTCCTATGTCCAAAATTCCAAACTGTCCCTTTAACTCACAAACCCTGCATATTTAAGTGTGTTAAACATGTGTGAATGAAACAACACACAACTCTGGTTATGTTTTTGATGAGAAAATGTTATAACAGATCAGAAAATAGTATAGGCCATAATATGGACCCTTTAAAATAAATTAACTAAGAGTGTGCTGCCTTCAGTGGCCTCTGCAGTTTCCAGTAGTTGGTGACATCACACATGACTGCTCTGATTACAGCCAGGCATTTCTGATCACAAACCTCTGGCTGCATGGGCAGGGTTTGGAATGTTGATACCTTCAGGTACTACCTAGTTTAGCAGCTCTATCTGAACTATGGTTGTGGGCAGAGTTTAGGTGTTTAGGGCCTGTTTACATGAGAACGCTTACGGGTAAAAAGGACACAATATTTTATCGGAATTGCCTTTCGTTTAGACGGTGATGCTGTTTTTGGGGCTTAAAAACGCAAAAATCTGAAATCACCCTCCAGAGTGGAAAAATTTAATTTGCTCCGCCATAGCATTTCTGTCTACACTGCCCAAGACGCAAAACTCTGGTCAGATCTTCTCACGTCGCGTACACGTTTACGTCAAATACATACAGTACACAGAAACAAACATGCCTCATTTCCATGCGTAGTGTGACACAGCACCACCTAGCTGCCTGGCATGCATACCCAATCGAACTCCACACACTTTTGCGTCACCGTATACACGCAGATTTCCTCCCGAAAACGTTCATCTAAACAGAATAAAAAGTGATGCGACGCCACTTTTGCGTTTTCTGTTCAAATTGTCATCATATAAACGTAGCCTAAGTCCCACTTTAATATTAACGCACCTTTGCTGTACTGCTCAAAGAATGCTTGTTCAGATCATGACATTACATTCTGGCCGATGTAACTTTCGCTGTTTGGCTTTTATTATTGATTTCACACTGCTACAAACCTGTCTTCTTGCGTGCACATTGTTCTCCACTGGTAGATTTGACGCACTCTTCATCAGGCTGCGGGCGATGTAGGTGTAGTACACAGAAATGACCAGCAGGGGGATGACGTAGAAGATGAGAAAAGAGGCCATGGAGTGAATCTTTGGGTGCAGTTCCCCAGCGTGAGGGTAGGGGGCGCAGGTGACGAAGCTTTCATTGGTGGAGGGGATGTTAAAGGTGTGGAGGTCAGAGAAGACGGCTTCAGGAATGGCCAGGACCAGCGAGAAGAGCCAGATGAGCGCCGCCCGCAGGATAATACTGGAAGTGCTGCTCGGGGTCTGGACGTCCAGTGGTTTCACAATGGCTCGATACCTGAGAAAAACATACCATGAAATCTTGAATTCTCACCTGAAATTTGGATTCTCGAAATTATCGAAATCCAGTATTAACACAAACAACAATCACATAAAGTTGAGTTTTATGAGAAATAGTGTAATTGTGTAAAAAGAGCATTTAAAATGATCATTTGAGTTTCGAAATTGGTATCGAGTATCAAGTCTATTCTTTAGCATCGAAATCAAGTTTGAAATTTGAAAACACTTAGTACAATATCATCTTTTTATAATAATACCTTGGATTTATACTAACCCAGGGAAGTGTCTTGCCCAAGGACGACAGAATTTTATTGTAAATTCATACAAAAAAGTAGGGATGTAAAACAATATCCAAATCTCTCGATACAATATTTTCATGATATTCAGCTCACGGTCCTACATTTATTGTGATATTTTGTGAATGCTTTAATTTTTCCTCTTAAAATGCTTTGACAAGATCCAATGAACTAAGTTTTAAAAGTGCATAGAACTGTTATTTATTCATGTAGTCAGCACTGAATCAAAGCAAGGGATCGTGGTCTATGTAGTTCCCTCTGTTTTTTTAGCTATTGCTCGACCATAACTATTAATTTACAATAATATTATTACAATTTACAGAAATACAATAGTCTTACAATACAAAAACGTTAACTCAAAACTGATTCCGATACCACAATGATAATTTAAACACTTTTTACAGCTTTTTACAGCTTCTACAGCTCAAGATCATTCTAAAGACATTCAGGAAAGGTTTATTTCTGTTCTGTGAATGTGACTTTTTTTTAGTATCAACACCTGCTCAAAAAGTTACACTGCATTTAACCCAAAACATGCTACATAGGTCTCCAGGAAGAAGAGTTGATAGCCAGGGTCAGTTAAATACAATTAATCAATGAACCTGCCCAGGGACGACAGGTGGAAATTAGCTCTGGTGCTACAACCTGATGTACAATACATATCTCCTGTTAAGGTTAATGTAAAAATTGTGCTCTGTCCCTGTCTCATTAAATAAAAATGAAGAAAGAAAGACAGAAATGGTACACATTTGGAGACATGATAATCCCACAGATTAGTTTAATTTGTAGTCTTACAGTAACAGAGAGTGGCAGGTCAATTCTGCACCTTAGTATAAAGCGAGTATTAATTTATTGTTTTACATTAATTAGCGAGATGTATTAAGGGAAGGTGCAGCAAGATCTGGGAAGGGCAGGTGTAGAGAGATTTGTAAGAGCAGGTGCAGCGAGATCTGGTTAGTGAGGGGCAAGTGCAGTGAGATCTGGGAGGGGCTGGTGCAGGGAGATATATGAGAGGCAGGTGCAGAGAAATCTGTAAGTGGCAGGTGCAGCAAGATTTATAAGGGGAAGGTGCGGCAAAATCAGTGAGGGGCAGGTGCAGTGAGATCTCAGAGTGAGGGGCAGGTGCAGCGAGATTTCGGAGTGAGGGGCAGGTGCAGCGAGATCTCGGAGTGAGGGGCAGGTGCAGCGAGATCTCGGAGTGGCAGGGGCATTTGTAGCGAGATCTGGGGTGTGGCAGGTGTAGTGAGATCTGGGAAGGGCAGGGGCAGTGAGATATGTAAGGGCAGATGCAAAGAGATGAGGGAGTGAGGGGCAGATGCAGCAAGATCTGGGAGGGGCAGGTGTTGCAAAATCTTGGAGGGGCAGGTGTAGCGTGATCTGGGAGTCAGGGGCAGGTGCAGTGAGATCTGAGAAGGGCAGGTGCAGCGAGTAGTCTTGAGAGTGGCAGGTCAATTCTGCACGTTAGTATAAAGTAAGTATTAATTTATTGTTTTACATTAATTAGCCTACTAATTACCAGAGAGACTAACATAATTATAAATATAATCTCTTTTACAAATCAATTTTAAACAAACACATTTATACAAATAATAATGCCCCTTTTTGACAACTTCTTCTCATATGTAATGATTTTCTAAAGCAATTTTACAGTTTCACTCGCATCATTCCCATTAATTAGCCCATTTAACCCAAGGTCTCCAAACCTAATACATTAAATTGTATCTATTTTCAATACTTACTATCAATTAGTATCTGAGTTTTAATACTTATGACAACCTTATTGGAGTAGACCCTTTAAAAGAAAAGCAAGAAAACAAGAAAAGATCAATATTTTACTATGATCGATTTTTCTGTAATTTTGTGATGATAGATGATAATTAAATTCAAGCAACGTGTTGACTGACATTTGGTGAAATTTGTTTTTCCAGTTAACCTTTTCTATCATCAAAATATTGGAGCGTAATGATAACGTGTTCTGCTTGTTGTTGTGGTGGTGGTGTAATTACTGGATAAGAGCAGGACAAGTGTTTGAGAAAAGATCAGCAGGCATGACTCAGAGGGCATCCATGTTTGTGTTCTATTAGCATGGTCTAAACACGGACTGGAGTTTATTAAAGCTGGACTGCGAAGCTTTTACAGTGTTGTCGCTTTGATTGGATTGTTTCACAGTATGGCAGTTAAAGGGCCCATATTACGCTATTTTCTGATCTATGTTATATGTTTCCTCATCAAAAACATAACTAGAGTTGCGTTTTTGTTTCATTCACCCATGTTTAACACACAAATCCTGCTTATTTAGGAGAGTTGGCTCAAACTGAAAAGACTCGTGGTAATACAGGAAGTGCTTCCCTGTGTTTTTAAACTCCAGACACCTTCACTAGAACCACCGGGATAATTTCAGGCCTGGAATTGCCAGTCTTTACTTAACAAAGGTAAAAGGGGCTGTGAACTTGGAAACTACCGCTTCATGACATCACAAGGTGGAACAGAGTCTTTTGAGCTCTGGAGATGTAAACAAACTAATAATGCAGGATTACTTATACATTTGTGAATGAGGAAAAAACACAAATCCAGGTCTGTTTTTGAGGAGGTAACAACATTATAACATGTCTTAAACCTCTCAAGAGTCAATTTTGCGTAATACTGGATCTTTAATTAAAGTTTCTTGCTCTTGTTATATCACCACATGACATCACAAGGTGGAACAGAGTGTTTTCTGTTTGAGAGAAGAACTAAATTTGCAGGGTTTGTGTGTCAAATATGTGTAAATGAAATAAAACATAACTCCAGATATGTTTGTGATGAGGAAACAAAATTAGAACATAGATTAGAAAATGTTAAAAATCTGTTTTCAAAGTCTCAAAGTACAAAAGATATTTTTACCAGTTGATTACTTGAATAACTGTTAATTGCAGTCATCTTCAGATACTATAAGGAATATAGTCACCTTAAAGAATATAGAGAAGCTCATTTCATGTTCCATTGTAACATAATGTCTCTTTGTCATCCCACACTGTCCCTGTATAAGATTACAGGGACCATCTTGGATAGTTCAAAGGTACATGTATTTTGGAACATCATTGTCCATAATTTAACACAATAGAAGAAGATGGTAAAATGGGCAGAGCCTTTCTTTGCTTTTCATGTCTCTTGTATTAATTTTAAATATCCTATATCCATGTAAGAGTTATATCAGTTATATAAAGCTACACTGTGTGACTTTTCAGCCAAAAATAACAATTTAAATGAAAGTTTGTTTGTTTTGATAATAGGTTTTTATTGCACTGAAAAAACAGAAAAACATGCGTCCTTACTATGAGTGGGCTTGCATTTCCGCAAATCTCACTTTTCTTAAACTGAATGAGGGCCTGCTCCTGCTTGTTTCCATGGAGATGAGGTGCCTTTAGCTGTAATACGGCATAAAACATGTCTGTGAAGAATGTTCCAAAGTCTGGTTTTAACTTTCTAGTTCCATGGAATCATGCAGTTGATGTGTCACCACAAAAAAAGTTACACAGTGTTGCAAGTTAACCCTCTCAGGCTCAAATAAATTTTTTGTGTCAGGAAAAATCTGATATTTGGGGAAAATTCTAATATTGGGTAGTAATATACAATCCTGACATTTTTATCCTTTGTTAAAAAAAAAAAAAAAAAGTATTTTGCACTTCTGGCAGGTCGTTTGCGTGTAGCCATTCTTGCACAGTCTGCATCGCCCACGTTTATCAGCACGGATGGAAGAAAAGGCTCCTGAGTTAAAAAAGCTCATAAAATATGGATGTGGAGTAAGTAGGTAATTGGCATTTAGCTGTTGCAAATCTGCAACGCCTGCCTGGAGAGGGTTAAGCTGTATTTTAAAATTATTTATGAGATTTTTTCACCCCAGACAGTTCCTTCAGAGGAGCTGGAGGAAATGTCTGGGGTGAAAGAAGTCTGGGAGTCCCTGCTTAAGCTGCTAGATCAGGGGGAAGAAAATAGATGGATGTATGGATAGATGGATGGATGGAAGTGTTTTACTGTTATATTCTTTTTATATCTTTGAATGCCAGATAAAGAACCTTAAAAGATGAATCCTAATTTCCCTCTTTGTTCACCCTCATAATATGTGTATTACTTGTAAATGATAAACAGAATCGGTGTGAAAGCCTGTAGAGTGGGTGATCCATAAACATGAAGACATAAAGGTCGCTTTCATTTTCAAAAACCTCAAATAAAATTCTACTGAAAAAGCAAAGCCCACACACCTTCTTTAGTTCCTCTTCACCTCAAATACAGTATTTCATCTTTCAGCTGTTACTGTAGTGCACAGTTTATAATGGCCCATTGAAATCGTGATCAAAGACTTAAGCTTTAAGTAAACAACAACACTAAACAGAGATACTAACAGAGATCACCCACGGCTCACTAATGTTGTCACGACTTAATCAAAGAAATGCCCTATGGGATTCCTGTTTAAAGCTGCATGACCAATTCAGTCCCTGACCTTGTTTCTTCATAACAACATTTCACTAAATCAAGCAGAACATTTTTTTTCTGAGGTGTTTAATTCATCAGATTTGAACAGTCAGCAGTTGTGAATATTAGTGAATCACCAGGAGTCTAATTTTTTTCAGTGAAAGTGAAAGAACTGTAAAAACTGAGCACCTAATTTTCTCCCCAAATTTGACATACTTACAATTTTAGGTACAAAGGTAAAACTCTTTAA